ATAAAGAGATTTTCATCCTCTCTAAATATCCTTATAGGAAAAGGAGTTTTGACTTTTTGTGATCTTCAATTTAACTTATGAATTTGACTGAAAAAATTTAAAGAAGTCGAACCTCATGAGTCATCGGTCAGTTGGAAGGAAGTAGTGTTTGGAAACACCCAAAACTTTAAACTTGGCATTAGAACGCACTCCATTCAAATCCCTTTCTATATCAAATAATTTTGTTGTCAAAACAGGAAGCCTTACAACTACAAACTCAGTCAGCACACTGTTTTTTGCTTTCTGCTGTTCTACTCTGTTGTAATGCGAAAAAAATATCCCTCCCTCTCCCTGCAATGGGAATTTCATTTGGGATGAAAAATTTATGCTAGTGTCTCAGCTTCTTTTCAAATCACTACGAAGACTAGTTGAGGCAGTGCAGAGGCTAAATTATTCCTCTTGTTAGGGCAAATTTTTGTAAATGCACTTTATGATCACCTGGCATAGCCGGCATGGTTCATGGACTTCCAGGTATTTGCCTTTTAAATCAGATACAATGGGGTAAGTAATATCAATCTTGGCAGGCCACTGATCCTTTAAGCATCAGGAATAAAGACAGTTAGGAGACATGAACATGAATGAAACATGCATAAAAACATGAATAGTTTTTATCTAGTCAGATGAAGTCATAAGGAAATAATATTTTTTTTGTCATAAAAGGACATACTTAGAAGGGAAAAAAAAGTCAGAGAGAAATGCCCTTGAAAGTTCTCTAGGTAATTTTAATATTTAGTGAAAGTAAGATACAAACCTTTCAGAAATACGTCCATCTATCCTTGTGCTTTCAGAAGTCTAAAAATTATTTCATATAAGCTGTAAGGCATGCACACACCAACCAGAGAAGCAACTGTGAGCAAATGCATATGAGGATCCGGTGCCTTACTAACAAAACGTATGTGTACGTTTACACTGCAAGAGGAGGAGGTCCAGTTTACATGCGCTGTAGCAATACTGGGACTTTCATGCCCTTCTTCTCAGACTGAAGAAAACAAGCAGAAGGGAATTAAACGGTTGCTCTGTTTTCTTCCTTTTGTGCAGGTCAAGCTTTTTTGTCTTCTAACTTGAACAAACAAGCACATCTGTGCATAGCAACAGGCTTACGAATCAGAGGCAGAAAGCTGTCTGTTCTTAAAAACAACTGCACAAAACCAAGACTGAACATCTTTCTGGAGACAGGCAACAGAGAAAAAGACTCTGAACACATAATGTGCGAGCAGCTTACCTCTGCATTGACTGCCTTGCTTGTCTTCTGCCACAGTTCCTGGTCCGTTTCCACTAGCAGACTGATTCACTGGCAGAAACCTACGCAGATAAAAGGAAGTCAAAACACCAGGAGCACTTCAGGGTAGCAGCCGTCAGTGTCATGAGTTGGCAGCATGTATTGTAGAGCGTGTTTTAGTGCTGATTTGGCAGGGCTTCAGAAGTGGGGAATCTCTGTGATGGAAAGATCTTCTGGTTTAAATTCACTAATCTGAAATACATCAATGGAGCAGGACAGTTTAAGTAGTACCTACAAATCAGCGGTTAGGACGTTTAGCTGGGACCTGGGTGTTCCACTTCCCTGAGGCTGTGGCAGACCTTGACCTGTACTGTTGCCCAACTGATGGTTGCTCCAAATGTAATCTTTTAGGATGAAGAGGAGGAGGTGTCCAGCTTCTCTCAACATACTCTCTCAAGAGCATGGTCTCTGCTATTGCTTTTCATCTTGTTTATTTTAACTGCAATATTACAGACTGTCATAAATCTATTTTTTTTTTTTTTTTTTTTTCAGTGAGCAGCACAACTCGTGAAACCCATCTTATTCTATGTTAGTCACTTAGAGCTGACATGTCTTCTCTAGGGAGCCTCTGGTGCCAAAGAAGGCTTGAACACATTATATAACCTTTCTCACAGTGAGGGAAGAAACAAGGGTTCTTGTTTCTCCCAAGCCATTTTCATCAGCTCTGAAAACTTGGTATCTTTGGAGATCTTTGCCTAACTCCTGATTTAGTCGTAGTCAGCCTGGGGGCTCAGTCCTCACCGAAATAGGCAGAATGACCATGAGCAGAATGACACATTCTGTGTCCTTAGGCAGCTGGGCTACAAACAAAGTAGAAACCTCATATGTGAGGACCAGCCTTTTCAGCCAATTAACTCCTGAGTGTCTTCAGAAGAACTGGTGTTTCATCATGCATTTAGAAGAATACCAGGTGAAAGGTATGTGTTCTTGGGAACATCATTGCAAATAGTATGATGCCTTTGGGTGGTGGAGGAAGGAAAAGAGTGAAATAAGAACAAGATGTCAGTGACATCATCTTAACAGTCCTGGTTTACATATGAAGTAGAGAACATTTTTTTGTGATGGTGAAACAGGTAATTTGGTAATTCTCAATGAAAAACATTATAACCTGGCTGCCCTGATGTCTCTAAGTGATAATAACTTTCATGAAACCATAAATTAATCACTCAGAAGGGCTTCTGCGACACGATGTCTAGTCCCTCCTCAAGTCCCAGGGTGAGATCAACAGTCCCCGTGATGTTTCCAGTGCTACTTGTCTAATCTGGTTTTACTGATTTTTCCAGAAAATTCAACACCCTGCCTCCTCTATGTTCTCCCAGGTTGCAAGATAGCTGCACGGCTGAAATAAATTTTTTAGGTGAATTTAGGGAATGCTCTGGTTTCTTTCAAGTATATTGCTATAGCATTTCCCATTGTAAGTATTGAAAATGCATAAAGTATGTCTCAAGTTCTCCTGTGTTTCCCCTACAAGCAGTGAGTTAGTTGAAGAGGAGAGTACTTGTTCCCAGGAATTTGTATGGAGTATAAGGAATGCCTTTGTCTGGAGGGGAGCTGTTTTGTTTGGATTAAGCTCTGCTTACATTCAGGGAGCACAAGGAAACAGGACAGACTTCAGCAGTGGGCTCAGGAGATGAAACAGGTCTGTTGTTTGTCTTGGAAGGGAAAGGGACAAAAGTGCACCAGCCATGGTTGGTTTGTTCGTCTAATGAACCACTTTTTGGAGTGAGACACTGACCCTTTGGTCATATAGTGTCACTAGTGAACTGTCTTAGTGAAATAGCTGTAACTACCCTGGTTAGCATCCCATACTGGGCTTATGTTATCATTTGATTGAAATGGAGAATGAGGGTGTCATGCTGAAAAAAAACCTCCTAAATAAAGTGCGATTCTTTTCACATTGAAGCTAATAACAGTTCTTTGTGGAAGGATGGTGATCTATAATACTGTAACCTAATGGAGGCTACCCTTCAAGTTGAGTGTCTTTGTGCAATAACTACCTATTTGACACAGGAGTGGCAGAGAGAGATTTCTCCCAGGAAATAAAACACGATGTGCTCTCAACTGTTTTCAGAGTAGCATTTTGCACTAATGGGTGAAGTGTTCTACATACCCATGGGATGGAGATAATGGATTTTTGAACTGCTGGGGTTTAAACCCCCAGCCCTGAATGAGGGTTGCCATATGGATGATGCCCACAACCAGGCAAGAAAGACCCTCCTGACTGGTTTTCACGCAGGGTCTGGCCAGCCTTGGGAGAGAACTGATTAGGAGATCACCACCAGGTGCCTCTACCTTTGGTATTAACATGTCCCACCTCTAAGCTAGTCACATAAAAGCTGGCTCTGCTTGCAGTGGTGTTGGGTAAAACTTGCTTACACAGTAGATGTGCTGGGTTTGGTTATTGGAAGGACTCCCTGGTGGTCCACTACAAGTAGAGTTCCCAGTGATGGTGGGATGATATCAAAACAGAAAGAGGATTATGAGGCTTTCTCATGGCAATTACTGTATGATCAGGATCAGGCTGATAGCCTGGCTTCCTCCTCTGCCCATGGCCTGGTTTTGGAATTGTCTTGCTCTCTTCTTTGCTGCATTATGTGTTGTGAGTGAACACATTGATCTACTCATTCTTACAGTGGGGGGCCGCCTTGGATCTCTTGCGTATGATCTAAGACCAGAGGGCTCATGTGTTGCCCATTAATGACAATATCCTTCCTAATGGGGCAAGCAGTCAGCAAAAGAATTCTTTTTAGTGATGTTTGGGTATTTTAATTTTAGTGTTTAAACACCAAAGAGGCTTCTCAGAGCCATGGTAAAGGTTAGAAGAAGCTCATCTATGTGGTAGCCCGTAGCTTCAAAATGAAACAGGAGATGAGAGGTTCATGCTGGATTCAGAGCGAAACTTTGAACCACTGTCCCACTGAAGTGCTGCTATTGCCAGGATGAAGTCAACTCCTTTCTCCCGTCTTGGAGAGTTCATGTGCAGAGATTCTGAAAGTGTTGTCAGCAAAGATTGAGTCTTCCAAGATTTCTCTGTCTTGGGGGGGCCTTGAGCCCAAGCTTCCCCTTTTCCAGGTGCATGCTTGAACAAGACTGTTGTCTGCTTTCTGTTCTTTACTGCTTTCTGCTGTTGTCTTCCCTCCCTGTGTCCCTTGCTCTTCCTCATGAAGAAAGTGAGCAGTGCTATTTCAAATGAAGACAAACCATCTTCTATTCAGGAGTGAATTTTTTTGTGTGAACTCAGTTTTTACTTTCTGGTCATCATCTCATCTAATAAGATTAATCAATACCATAACTTCTAGAATTAATGTTAGCTTACACTACACTACACTTTTCAATAATTGCCAGCCCAATAAACTGAGAAATAACATGACGAATGGAAAAAGTTTTGGGATCACTGATTGTATCTGGAGAAAGTCAGTGCTCTCATTACTGTTAGGGTCTAAAGAAGAGAGCAGGCTGCAAGAAAATACTGTCTTCTGCTAGCAAAGAATGGTTATTGCAGAATCTAGGCTGTATCAATTAAAAAGTGTTTATGAATCCACATTGTTGCCAGAAAATACAAAGTGCAACATCAGCACACAACACTGCAGTGACAAACAGTGTGAAAATGGCATCAGATTTCATTTGTATCCAGTGAAAGCAGGTGTTGTTGAAAGAGTAAGGTTTGGCTCCTGATTGTGGGTTAAGGATACTTCTGCATCCTATCAATAATCTCATTGTACCTTTGCAAAGGTGCATCCAATCCCCAGATGAAATCCAGGTGCGCACATTTGGGAATTCTCCTGTGATAGATGAGCCTCTTAATTTGAGACAGTAAAATGGTTGCATCCTTGGGATCTTCAAGCAAGTCTTGTTCCCCAGTCTGTGCTGCAGTTGGTACAGTCATCTATAGTACATTGTAGAGAGGAGGAGGAGTAGCTTGGAAAACATGAGGCAGTACAGGAATGAATGCCCAGGAAAGCATAGCAGGCTGTAAACACACTTTTGGGGCTTTTTTTCTGTCACTGTTCAAAGTAGAGTAGCCTGAACTAAACAAGTTTAGCCTGTGCTTGCTGGAATGGCCCGGATGATAGTACAGCCAAAGGAAAAATGGTTCTTGAGCTGACAAAGAGTTACTCTTGGGTCTGTGCTCTCTCAGCCAGGGCAGGAATCTGGAACAAGAAAGAAAATGTCAGAATGCCTCTGGGTAAACCTCCATCTCGGTCCTCTTGGAGTACTGGTCAGCTGCAGAAGACATACATGATCTAGTTAGAAAGCACAACATGTAATAATAATGAAAAGGAGCACAAAGTGGCTTCTGTAGGAGGAGGAAAGAAGTAGCTTAGGGCTCACATGTTTGGAAAATAGAAGACAGAGCAGGGATGGGAAACGCTTGTAAAATCACAAATGGCATGAAGAATGAGCACAGGAAGTAATTATCCCATTAATTCTCATAACACAAAACCTAGAAGGCATCCAGTGACTTTCCAGGGGTGAGCATATACAAGAAAAAAACAAAGGAAGTTGTATTTCATGGAAGTCATCATTAAAACATGTAATTTGTAATGATAGGATGTTATGGAGACCTAAAGGCTAGGCGTGTCAAGGATGGGCTTAGAGTCTTGAATGGAGGAGAGGTTCCTTAAGGACTGCTTAAAGAAAAAGTCCTACTGTATCCAGCTACCAGAATCTAGGAGTAGCTATTAACTCTCCAATTGTCCTCTTCTGAGCACTGTTTCCCTGAGCTCTCATACATTGGCAACTGTTTCAGCCACACTAGTAGGCGAGATGCTGCTTTGGTCTTAACCATGAAATATTTTTTTCTTTTTCAATTCTCATTTTCTATCGTTCCTGCTCTTACTTCCTTTCATTCTTATTGATCATTTAATTGAAAAGTTTTGGTCTTGCTCTCTCTCTCTCTCTCTCCTCTTCCTTTTAAAATTTATTATAGCCATTAGTGCTTGCAAGCTTTCTCTATTGATTTCCAAACTGGAAAGCAGTAATACTTCCATCTATTTGTATTCTGAAAGTGTCTCCTACTACATCTTTACTCTCTTCCTGTGTGTTTCTGGGTTGTTTAAGGATGATAATATTATTTCACCAAAATATAACTGTTGGTATTTTTCCATGTTCTTCTTTGAACTGCCCCAGACATAAGCTTGGAAATTTCCTGAATGGGCCTCCTAGAAGGATGAACAAGAAGAGGAAATGGCCTCAAGCTGCTCCAGGGGAGGTTCAGAATGGACATTAGGAAGAACTTTTTCACTGGAAGGATTGTAAGGTATTGGAACATGATGCTGAGGCAGGTGATTGAGTTGCCATCTTTGGATGTGTTTAAAAGCTGTGGAGATGTGGTACTCGGGCATATAGCTTAGAGAAGGATTTAGCAGAGTATGGGAGAGTAGGTTTAACGGTTAAACTTGATTTCAGAGGTCTTTTCCAAACAAAGTGATTCTATGGTAAGGGTAATTACAAAGCCATCACTTGAGAAGTTTGTAGGTTCTTTCCCTGCTGAGCCTCTGGCTTCAGTCTAAAGCCTCAGCAGAAGTTCTTATAAGAGCTACAAAAGAGCCAACAGTAATTTAATGAAAAGTGTCAATCAGTGAAAAGGTGTCAAATGTTTTTGTCGGAACCAAAAAAAAAAGTACAGCTTCTCCAGAAAGACCCAGGGATGTTCTCATAGGCAATTTGTTCTAGTTTGTAAAATTGCTATTAAGAACTACCTCTAGCAAGTTCCCCTCGCTGCTGCTGCCATATCCTCTTCTGGAAGGTGGTCACACAGCTGTGGGAGTAGCTTTTACGTTTTCTCTTCCCACTCTGATCTGAATGCAGAAGTCATCATTTTTAGTTCTTCCCTTGTGCTCCTTGACTTTGCCTACAGCATGGGTTGCTAGTACTTCAAAAGACACCACCAGTGGGATCTTATATTGAAGGTAAGGTGTTTGTTAACTCCTTTAGTAGTAATAAAGCCATGACAATGAAGATTTAGGAATATTACTCCCTCATGTTTGTACTCGCCAGTCTGTGGCTAGATGTTGAACTAAACCTGAGACAATTTGCAGAGCTCGCCCACTGTTTCTTTGTAACTTTTCCTTTACAGGTCTAGGCCATAGTTACAAAAGCAACTAAATAAAATCTAGTATTTTATGTAAATTCACAGCCAAAAGTATTGTTTAATTTTGAGTAAATGCCAGTGCAGAAATCACTTGAAAATATCCATGTCTTTGCTGTGTTGAACAGTGCAATAACGCTTGCAAACTCACTGTGCTTGCAGGCGCTTCCTGCTCCGCTCCAGAGCCCCCAGTGCTGCCAGGAAACCTGCCTTGCATGTAGCAGCTACTCTGACTGAGCCCAGACTTTATGAAAAAGTCATAATTCACATTTTTTCACTTACTGAAAGTGTGAGCACAAAGAGAAAAGCAGCTTCTATCAGCATGGCTGCTGAGGATGTACTTTTGCAGTACTTTGTAAGGGATATAACCAGTGTACTAAAAAAAGTTCTATTGCTGTCCAGATACTGAGCGCTTTGAAAGCAAGAGATGAAAATAGAAGGGCTTTTACTAGTAAAACCTGGTATTTTACAAAGCAGCCTATGTCTTGCTCATTTCTTGACTCTGCATTGCAAATATAGCCAATTTCTTCAAGTGAGCTCTGTACAGAACTGTGGACATCATTTGTAAAAGGTACTGGATACACAAGAAGAAGAGACATAGAAACAGTGTACCTCTGCATACACAGCTACCAGCATACATGTTTTCACACAAATATAGTGTTTCTTTGTTGGCTGCAAATGTACCTGTATCACATACAGTGTTTCTATCCTACTGGCAAAAGAAGGATCCATGACAAACTGTTTTGAATTGAAATTTCAATTGTAAAACACAAGTTGCATGTGTTTCCAAGAAGTCAGCAATGGCTTCACAGCAGATTATCTGCTATAGCCACTCTATACCACTCAGCCAGACGTGTGTACCTATTTTGTCTGCCAGGATTTTGCTAGTACCTGACTCCAGTGGACGATGTTCTGCACAGTAGTTCCAGTGGAAGTCTGAGCAGTATACACATTGATTTGATTCTGGAAGAAAATATTCAGTGAGTATTCTTCTTCTGCCTTGTATTCAGAGGTACATCAAAACATCCTCCTCAGCAGTGTCATGTATCAATAGAACCAACAAAAATTGGAGTGGCATAATCAGAGGCTCGCCGAGAGTTACTCCAGATATGGAGATGTGTCAGGTTCTGAGTAGCACTGAAAGAAGAACCCTCAACCAGAACATTTTCCAGGATGACTAAGGATCCAAGAGAATCTACAGGTGAAGGTAGTGGAAAAAAAGGTTAGTAATTTAAACTCCAAACTAGGTGGTGTGTTTTTTTTCAGGAGTCTGTAACAGGTCCTACGTGAGAGAAGATTGCTGCTGAACAGAACAGCAAAAGGAAGTGCAGCTGCCGGAGGAATGAGCCACTGTTTGAAACGCTCTGCTCCTGCAAGGGTTTCCCAACAGGTTGCTGTATGATCCTTCAGCAGAGAACATGCTCTGAGGCATTTTTTTTAAAGTGCTTGAAGAAAATTTTCATGCCCAGGGGGTTGGTCCTACAACTGTACATAGCATGAGGTGCTCGAGTATGTCTTAACCCCCAGTGTCTGTCAGCTCTCAGGTACCCACTAGGTATCCTGCACCTCTGAGTACACCCCTGATGGTCCAAGGCTTGAAGGGGAACAAGAGGGAGTACTCATGTTCCTTTCCCTGTTGCAAAGATCTTCTGGAAACATGAAGCATGTAAGGGTGTTATTTCTTCTTCCATGGTGTGCCAGCATACTGAAGATCTCCAACAAGACCAGTGCTTACAGTATAACTCAGGAGACAGTGCCCTAGGTGAGATCTGACAGAAAGCAGACTGCAGTTTTGGGGAGCTTTTAGCAGCTGTTGACTCTGAGGATGTGCCAAGTGCTGTTCTGAGGAGTGAGGCAGAGGTCCCCTGCCAATGATGGGGCAACCAGGTGTTGCTGCCCAGTAGTGGGGACTCTTCCCTGCAATGTGACTTTAACTAATAGAAATTCAGAATTCATATCACAGCATAGAAAGAAAGTTTTTGGAGCAAAAGCTGCAATTATCATTAGAGATGGTAAGTTATACATACCATGTGAATATTTTTCAGGTTACAGCTACCCAGATTGAAGAAGACACTTGTACAAACCCTGGCAAAAGCTTGGTGGCTGCAGGCAGAGACTGTTAGCCTTCTTGGACATGCAATCTGGGGAAGGAATTCTCTTTTGCCAAGCAAACCCTGTGAAATACAAGGTTTACATTCATTTAAGAATGTACACTTGTACATTGTACTGTTGTGTTTGTGTCCTGTTCCTCTTCTTCAGCACCTTCAGTGGTTCTTACTTGCTTTTTCTTCATTTGCCAGAAGATATTTCCACAAACAAGAAAGAAATTAAGTGTTTTCCTATTGCTTCATCCTGCTCAGGCATTGCTCAGTTTATGTTACATCACTTTTAACGAAGAGATATTAAATGTTAACTCCAGTTCATATTTTAGCTGTAAGCTTGTACATCAGTTGTGGCTTTGTCTAGAGGAATCTTGGAAATGTTTGGGGATCTGCATCTCTGTGCCTCTCTGGGTGACCTGCCCCAGCATTGTATCACTGCCCTAGATAAGAGGTTTTTCTTAATGTCCAGTCTGAACCTTCAAAGGGTTCAGTCATTGGGTAAACCTACCCACATGCAAATAAGTAGGCTTCATAAAGCCCTATACTTTCTGTTTATCCATTTTAAGAGCTGAACAAACAAGTATATGATTAAACAGTTGAAACCAAGATATCACATAGCCTCAGCAATTTTTTGGGAAGGTAGAGGAGTTTTGTTGCTGGGCTTCTAGCATGCTTAATAGAGCCAGCTCTAGGATTGAAAAATATGTTGAAAGCTAGGAAAACAAGAAAGAGGAATTCAGAAAATTATCATGTGTACTTTAGACTGTTTTTAATATTTATAAATGCTATTGTGCAATTTCAAACCTACAACCAACCTTGTTATTTTCTCAGAGACTATGGTTCAGCCTAGATTTGTGTGAAATCCCCCCTCTCCATGTGTTGCCAGTTTGTAGTTTTATTTCCCCCTTCAGAGGGTAATTTCTTTCTACATCTTGCCTTCACAGCTTTCTTCCAAACCCATTTCAGCATAAATGCACACTTCTGATATGCTTGCATACATTTCAATTTTTTTCCTCTGATCAGTCCAACTTTTTTTTTTTTTGTGTGTGTGTGTGTATCCTGTCCAAACTGGCCAGCTTCTCTTTCTGCACTGTCATCTTCCTATTTTGTTTATTTTGGTCAACTGATCATCTCCTGCTAGGCACACCCACACATCTTGAAAACAACTTGCATGGCCCACAGTAATTTCCAGTATAATTCCAAGCTGACAGACTTAACAGGAGCAGTGCATTTGTCTTATTATGCTTTAATGCCTTTATATTAAACTAAAAATGTCTACATGTTGAAAGCAGCTTTTCCTATGTTTTTCAAACCTGCAAAGAATTAATAAAAATTGCAGGTCCTTCAGTATCTCAAATCACATTTTACTCCTGTTTTCCTGAAACGTTATTCTGCTGTGTGTAAATTACTGATGGTAGTACTTTGTGAATAGTGGATATAGTACAACTTTTCCTGTCCTCTTTTTTTCTACAATGAAATATACTGCTGCTGGAAGATCAGACTTTGCCATCTCATCAAAACTGTTGGCAGGAGATTGAAAGAGAAGCATACATAAATTTAAAATCCATTTAACTTCAGATTTTTATTGTTATCAGCAAAGAAAAAAACATGAACCATTTAATGAATCATGCAGATATTCTAGATCCTATGTTTTTCTGGCACTGTATATGGAAGATATTACTCAAGGTTTTCTGGGTTATTTTCTCACTTGATGTCAACAGAAGGACTGTATTTTCTGGAAGTATCGGGTTGACTTGTAATGGTCTACCACAGAAAAGAAAAGGTGGTGATAGAGTAACAGACCTTCATTCATGGAATCATAGACTTTATACAATTTGATGTTAAAGAAAATGTCTATTTTTAAATGTTCATCAAAATCAGTGCAAAAACTATTTGTATGTTCTCCTATGGTTTTATTATTGTAATATTCAGACTAATAATTCTAAATAGCCTCCAAAACTGTCTTCAGAACAGAGGATTGGCTTGGCCATGACCTGTTCAGGTTCCTGTGAGTTGCTTTTCTGCTAAATCTCTAGTTTGAAGAATCTGTTCTATCAGTAACTAGGGGAAAGGTGTATCCACCAATATTAAAATTCACATGAGTGTTTAGGGATGCCTCAGCAAAAGTGAATGTAAAGAATGCTTTTTAAAAGGTAGCTTATGTAAATCTCTAATTTAGCCAGCTTAAATAAAAATATAAGGGTGGGCAATGGAAATGCCCTTCAATGGATCAATCTACCTGAAAGCCCAGAATTCATCTTGATCAATGAAATAATTTTGATGTTTTCTGGATCAGCAATTCCCTTCTAAATGCTATTCCCATCCATGCTGTTTCCCATCCAAATATCAAAGCCAGCATCAGCTAGAATGAAGCCCAACCTGATGCTGGGCAGGTTTGTGACCCAGTTACTAGCATCTCCCTATAATACATGTTAGAGAAATACAGAAGGTTGTAGAGCTGAAAACAAATCAGAAAGCAAAACAGCAATTTATAAAATTTCTTGATTTTCTGGTGGTTCAGGGACCTTACTGTCTCAGATCTAATAGTGGGATTTGTTACTGCAGCAACTTCAAGGAAGATAACTAATCATAAAACCAAAACATGCCTTTATGTAAGAAGAGAACTTCTAAGCTTCTGTAAGGATTAATGGGAAGATGTGTGACACCAGGGAAAACTAGCTTGGCACTCTCTGGTCATTGTTTGTATAGCTCTGCTACATTAGCTTGAGGTTCTCAACACTGATATTTAGAATGAAGGTGTGGGATTGTTTTCAGAGGTTTCCTTTACCCAGAATATGAATCAGTCAGTGATATTAACTAGGTGTAAGCAAAAGCAAAGCAAAATTAGAAGCTAGAACAGCTTTCTCAAAACAGTCTGACTGGACAGATTAGAGACTTTATCTTATTTATTTTTTTTTTAATTTTAACCTTTACTCATCAACTTTTATTATGTTGTTTTATTATATATGCTTTGTATTATAGTGGATTTTTGTTATAAATAGTTTTGCTTGATATAAGTCATGTTGATCTTGCAGGGCAAGATCAGTTGATCTATTCAGGGCAGACAGAATTGCTACTAAAATTTCACTTGTGTGTACAAGTTTTGATGGACATTTAACAAATATAAGGTATTTCCAGGATATGCCCTATCTAGGCTGATTTTGTCTCCTGCTAAAGAACTCTACCTTGGTTTTCCTGATTCTGTGTACCATCAGGAATTCTGCTAATGATAATGATTTAACCATCTTCTGTTGTCCCTTCATGTTCCTCACTGCGGTATCCTTTGTAAACAATGAGCCCGTTTCATATGTTATATTCGTGAGATATTCACAGTGAAGACATGTTAGAGAGCAGATACAACTGGGGAATTAGTCTACGTATATTAAACAACTGAATAAAGCAATAACACTAAAACTACAACAGATTTCCTTCATTCTCTGTGTTAAATCCAGGATTTGACTCTTCAGTTAAAATCTGTTATAAAAACCTGTGTCATACTACTGCTATATAATCACAGACCCTTGCATTCTGGTTGTAGAAGGATTACTATAACCTCATAGCGGGAGCATGATTCTTAGGGCTGAGCTGAGGAGCAGCCTGGATCCATGTTCCTGATTTGCTGCAATGCAAAGTGAAACCAGTTTCTTTCAACTACCTTCAGAGAAATCCAAACAGCTTCACAACCATGCTTTTGTGAGTGGCATGTATGCAATGAGTGCCACGGAAAAAATTACTACATTATGGAAAAAACAGGATCAGCTACTTGCATAGTCACAAGAGAAATCATTAGCACAGCCAGCCTTAAGTCTGGAAAAAAATATTACTTTTGAAATGTAATATTCAACCTGCAACAGATACTGTTCATCTGCACAGAACACAGTAGCTTATAAACTGAGATGAACATTTACCAAGGCTTTCAAGAGCCTTTGATTTCTTTATTTATATTACAGATTGCACAATTTCTCCTCAAAATAGTGGCTCTGATTAAGATGATGATTATTTAATATATCCTCAGAAATTATTTTCTTTAATATATACAGGCCATAAAATCTTAGAAGAAGACCTGCTTCTACAAGATTTTCTAGCAGGACATGGAAGAGAAATATAAAGGTCTCAGTTCAGGTTCTGGCAGTGAATTAGAAGAGGAAAAGATTTTCAAAGAGATGGTACAGAATATGGAACATTTCCTGATATTGACTCTAAACATGGAGTGTGATTTTTTTTTGTTTGTTTGTTTTTGTTTTGTTTTGGTTGTTTTTTTTTTTTTTAATCTTCACAACTTCCCTGTAAGAAGATCAGGTTTTCTCCTTTTCAAAGTCTCAGTGTCTTTCAAAGCTCAACATAAATTCCATGAGTGAACTATTTAAATATTTAAATATGTACTTGTCTTTGAGCACCTCATGCTATTCTAACTCATCAAGATGTGTTATTAACTTGCTGTGAACAAAGCTGGCTTCATTCTTTAGTGTAAAGCAATGCTTCATTGACAAAAACAACTCAGTAAAACAATATTGAGTAAAAGGACAATGTATAATTTTCATGAAACTATAAATAGCAAATGAGTGGATAAAGTCGTCATTGCAGGCTACTGGCAGCATGTGTTTGAAGCAAGTGATTGAGATGGGGAAAGAAGGTGAATGAGGGTGAATGTTAAGCTGATATTTTTAAACACAGACATGCACATTGTTGTAAGCTGACCGTTTTCAGGGAAGTTACTCACACTATAAACAGGTGTAGAATTTGGTGGAAATGCTTAAAGGTTGAAATGTTGTCAGAGGTGTGGCTGCAGCTTCGTAAGTGTGGTCATACACAAATGAACTTTAAACTGGTCAGTCTGGGCACACTTATATAAGTAAGTGCCTTTGTATAAATTGTTGACTACATGCTTGGTTTATGAAAATTCCTCTTCTTCCAGTGCTCTTTCTGGATAAAAAACCCCAATAATGCACAATACATAATTCTTAACACTTTGGTGTTTTCTGCAGACTCTTTGCTCTCCCCATTCTGTCTGGCTTCAGGAGTTAGAACTGGCTCTGAAAATGACTGGAGGATGGAAGGTATTTACAAGCAGCTGAATATAGCAAGTTTTTCATGGATGAAATATGTTCTTTTGGCTTCTTCACCCAGCTGGTGTACATAGTTATCAGAAACTTTTTGCTATTTTGAGTATGTTAAGGAGGGCCTTTAAAGGGAGGTATGCTTTACTGAGACACAACTTGTTTTTGTGCAAGTTGTCATCCAGAAGTCTCCAAGGGAACACAGAGCAGCAAAACCAGAAGGAACCCCTCCGTGCCCTCGCATGGCTTTAAAAAAATGTCATGCTGTTAACAGTGAAGCAATTGTTTCTTGAGAGTGAGCAGAACCACTGAGAACTAAGACCATGGCCTAACAGCGTGTTCTCCTCGTCATCCTGGGACAATACCTGGTTTCTGACAGCGTAGGTGTGACACTCAGCCACCCCAGCCCATGCTATTGCCTTGGCTGGAGTCCTGCTGGCTTCCAGCACAGGCATGTCTGGGGAGGTGAAACCAGAGCCACCCTGTCCGGCAGTGGCCCCTACACCTCCTGCCAGTGAAGGGAACCACAGATTGTTAGGGGTTGGGAGGGACCTCCAGAGATCATCGAGTCCAACCTATAGTCCACACACAAAGCGGCACAAGTGCAAAACCATAGAGCACTAGTGAGAATAGGTGCTGCTGGAGTGAGAGATGCTCCTCAGCTCTATCAGGCCTGCAAAAATATTCTGGTGCTTGTCATTAGAGTAAGTGGCATGGCTTTGCCTGAGGATTTCCATCAAGTAGGCTGGCTGAATGGCACAGTATTCTTAAGTGATGAGTGAGGTAGCTCTGAGTTGGCACCTACGTAATTATGAATCTTTTGTGTGACAAAGGTAGAGTAAGAAGCATCAAAAGGAAGGGCTCAGGAGGGACAGAAAGGGCTGCATGCCTGTCTCTTCTGCTCACACTGCTGTAAATTTGTCTGAGAATGTTCCAGGCAGTGCTGCCCTACTGCCTAAGCCCCAGCCACCCATAGAAGGGGTAGCTTGCAAATGAAAAGCTCAGGACCAGCCCCTCTGTTGACTTATCCCAAGGAAACA